AAACAATTGTTGGTATTAAGTCATAGGTTTGCTCCCAATTTCCCTCACTTCATATTGAAACCAATTCTATGGATTAAAAACTTCAATTGAACATGCACATAAACTAACAATGGTTCTTAGAAATAATTATTCTTAGAAATAATTTTCCAAATTCTTTGATGCTTTCCTCATAGATCACAGAAACCAAAAAGTCTAAGCAAACAAAAAGAAAACATCCCACTTTCAAGCCTAAACACATATTTGACTGAGGAAAGAACTGATGAAAGAGGACAAGACTCCCACCATATCCATAACAAACCCACCCAAATTATTAAACCACGTTGACAGATTACCAGTCCATTAAAAAATAATAGTAAAAAAAGCTGTAAGAGATTATTCAAGGAAAAAGGAAAGAAGGTGGTGAAGTAGTAGGGTGATATGGCTTAGGTTTTTCTTTCTTTCTTTTTTGGTGAAGAACATGTCATTAATTGAAGGTAAAAAAAAAACTGCAAAGAATTGACAACTACATTCCCCTGTTTTTAAAATCAAACAAAATTTAAAAAAAAATGAAGTGCAAACCTGCTTTATTACTAAAAATCGCTTTCCTTTAAAAGCTGTCATTTTGAAATCATGGCTTTTAAAATTTACACAAAGCAAGTGTAATTAACAGGGCATGGAATCAAATCTGATTTACTGGCAATCTATCTTCCAACCCAAACTGTACAATAAAAAATCACTAAGAAACAAAATTCAAATATATACCACCATGTAGATTTAATTAAAGCACTTTATATTAAAATAATAATAATAATAAAAGACCAAGAGGCCAAATCACATCCTTGTTTCATTATGTAATTAGTTTTTTACACTTTTAGGTTCCAGCCAGCCATTTTCGAACCATGAATTTCCAAAGTTAATTATTAAACATAAGAGGAAAAAACCCAGTATCAACAGAGCCATGTAAATAATCTACATAGATATTTTACCTGTAATTGTCTGCTTTTCTAGCAAACAAACATGTGAGCTTATCCTTCCCCTATTTTAAAAGAGTAGTTAGTTCAAACGGAAGCAAAGCTTTTTCATATTACATGTACACAGAACTACTAATAACATTAAATTTAATGTAAATTGAAATAATGGTGGTAAAATTAGCCAAGTGTTAAATTATGTGATTTATCTGAAAGCAATAAAAAACATAACTTTTAGAAAAACGAACCCTAAATTTATAGTAAAAGAATGCCTACTTGGTAACCAGAATACTAAATCTGCTCAGTGTTTTTATTCCAAAAAGGTAAGCATTATTATGAGCTACTTGTAATTCATTTTCCTGGCTTAAAAAAATAATATTTTAAGTTTAACAGCCATCACCACCACTCCTCAAAAAGAAAATATGGTTACGGAGGTAATAAAACCAATTACTGGTTCTGCTTTAACCATATGCTAATTTTTACAAGCCAATTTAAGCCAAAAATAATAAAATGTGCAATGTATTGAAATCCTTCGTGTTCCCTAATTGAAGTTGTAAATAACTAAAGTCCCTTACCTTATCAATTATCTTTTGAAAATGAACTTCTACAGTACAACTCTGAATATCCTTGTGTTCATCAGAATTGTGTATTAATACCGAGAGTTTTTTAGATCTTATTTTTTGTGCTCGATAGCCAAATACAAAAAGCATAGAATCAATAACATTGGATTTGCCACTGCCATTTGGCCCAATAATACAGGAAAAGCGCTGCATAAAAAGAACAGGGAAAAAAAGGTTAAAAAGGTCATACTACCAATTTTAACTTAAGCTGTTTTTTTTTACTCGCAGCAAAACTTCAAGTATTTAAAAGTTTTCATTGCTAAAAGACAGCAGTTTTCATACATCATGTTCTCTACCACAAGCTTCAACACCTTAAATATGGCTATATTTTAATTCTAACACTTTTTATAAAATTCATTCTTATAGTCAGAGAAAATACTCCTTTTGAACAAAAAACCCCCACCAATTCTATTCAGTGAGGAAAATTTAGAGATACCAAAGATAATCAGATAAACAAAAGCTAATTTCAGTTGTTAAAAGCATAGGAAACACACCGTATATATATCAATCAGAATAAATACAATAGCTACAAAATCGAAACATTTTGTAATAAAGACTCATTACCTTACAACAGCTATTTAAAATGGTCAAATACCTTATGGAAAGGTCCCAGAATTTTTTCCCCAGCATAGGATTTGAAGTTCTGGTTTACAATATGAGTTATCATAAGCCGAGGCGCTCCAGCTTCATTGGTCATTGCTGGAGGCGGGGGAGGAGGGATGCTATTCAAAATCTCTTCTAAACTTCTATTATCAATTTCCTCACTTGGAGTCTCTAAGACAGTCAAAGGAAAGGGAAGGCAAGGGAAAAAAGCCTGTATTAGTGCAATTAGTTGGGAGGACTGCTGCCTGTTCATCTCTGGAGAGCTGTTATTTATGAAACTTAGGAATCTGTATTTCCCGCTCAAATACAGGGATGAAAACTCACAGGGATGAGAATCTTTCAGCTTGGTTTCATAAAAAAAATTCTTGAAAGAAATGCCACCAGTCGCAAAAGTCTACAGAAATACACGTCTTAGGGGTCAAAACAACCACATCATGAAGCAAATCTGGGAAAACCATAACCACTTGATTCCATGCTGCCTGCCTAAACAGGTGGCTAAATCCTACGGCTCTAGAACCAACGCTCTCCGTATCTTTGAGCACCTGGAACCTTATCTTTGGATACTCAAGAGCCCCTACGACACTGTCGCAGGGGTTCCAAAATGTCACCCTATTCCCGGACTCACAAAAGCTGCAGTAGTTTCGAGTAAATTACCATCTCTTTAAACGCAATTTAAGACCACGGAGAAGTTAGGATCAAACAACTTTCCATCATACTAACATACAGTCACGCTGACTGAAAAAAAGTCCACTGGCTACAGGCTATGTCTATTTCCGCAGAAACACAAGAAAAACAGAAATTCATAACTGAAGTTTTTACTCGCCCCCCCCATCCCCTCCAACATCGTTACACCGAAACTGCACGTAGTCTAACGTAAAAATCGCCAAATCGCTTTCTTGAGCTGCTCTACCCGACCGACGCGCTACCTTCAGACGTCAACCCCGAAGCCCCGCTCGTTCGCGCCCAAGAACACCAGCCAGTCCTGGGTGGCGAGCGGACGCACCAGGGTATCCCACGCACGGCATCAGGGTATCCCACGCACTTGCCCGTCGCGTCGCGAAGGGTTTCTCACCTGCGGTGGCAGGCGCCGGGCTCCCCGCGCGGCCGGGCGGCGGTTCGGGCTCCATGTCGCTGCTGGTGCCGTCCGGAGACTGCGGCGGCCCTTCCTCTCTGCGCCGGGCAGTGGAGGGCTGGGTGCCTTTACGGGGCATAGTCGCTGGGACCGAGGAAGAGCCGGCAGCAAGTCAGCCTGCGAGTCACAGGACCGTCCTGGTGCATTCCCCGCCGGCCCCGCGGTGGACTGGCTCAGACCCCACCCTACCCGACTTGGAGAAAACTCGGTCCACTTGTACTCGAGAGCCCCGTTTTAAAACCCTGCTCAACGCCAGCGGGTCCTCAAGAAAGAAGGCACCAAAAACTCAAGTGCCAAGAAGGGGGATCCATTTTCTTAAGTCCTAAGCAAGTGGGAAAACCTAGACATGCCTGGAGATGAATCAAGGATAGAGCAACTGCTTAGGTTCTTTTTTATTTTTTAATGCCCCCCCCCGCTGTCCGCCCACAGTATAAGTATACAGGGATATTCTAATATAATTTCTAAACAAAGTAATTCCCATACGCTGGCATTTGCTGATATTCCCACGCTCTCGGGGTTAGGGATGCAAGCGCATAGAATTTGAGAGGGACGAGTTCGTATTAACTTTAGGCTTCAGGGGCTATCGACTCTTCCAACAGCAGCGAAGAACTAACGGGCGGCTCGCCGCCCACTTTCCTCTACCCGCCATTAACTCTTGGCGCCGCTGACGGCCTGGGGGCTTTGCGGTCTCCTCTACAGTCCGACCAGGACCGGCGCCTGGAGGCTGGGGTCTACACTCGCGACTTTCAAGTCAGAAGCCGACAGCGCCTGCTCGGGTTCAGTCATCTGGGGTGGCAGGGATCTGTCCCTCCGGGGTCTGCGGCAGAATCCCGTTGGACAACTACGAAAGGTCAGCAGTAAGGGCTCAGACCCGGTGATTACTCCCTTGGGAGAAGAGAGAACGGGCAGGGGGCGACGGTAGGGTGCGACAGGGACCAAGATTTCTGAGAAGAGGTCCGCGAGGCTTAGAGCCCCTCCCGTCCCTCGAGCGACGCTTAAGCAGCTCAGAGAAGTGGCGCCGGGGAGAAGCGCGCGGAGCCCCGACTGCCGGGGAGCGGCCCAGGGGGGGAGGGGTGACAGTAGCGAAATCTCCCAGCGGCAGCCTCAGCCCAGACTTCGGCTGCTCCAGCTCAAGGCCTCTACTTCCCAGGCGCCCGCGGACGAGGCAGGAAGTAAGAGTGTGACAACCTGATCAGGAAAAGAAGTACTTTACCTGCGGGACAGTCCACTCAAACCAAGCCTGGAAACGGTTGTGTAGCCCCCCCGCTCCTACCGGTGTTTCGGCTCCGGGTCCTTCACTCGAAAATGGCGCCTAAAATACAAACTCGAACGGAAATTCGTTACAAATGCGCGCAATGCTTTCTGGGAACCATTAATTTGAAAAAAATGCGGCGATTATCTCCGCCATTTTCTGGTCGCTTACACGCATGCGCGGACTCCTGGCGGGACCCAGGCAGCGGACCTTTCTACTAAGTGAAAAAGAAGAGCAAGACAGTGTTTTCTCTGTGGCCTACGGAAACAGCACTCTTATAAAAATATTTTTTAAAAATCTTTGCGAGTTTTGAAAAAGATAAAAAAAATAGGGTGGGGTTCCGCCCACTGACGAAGGCAGGACTCAGTCATCCAATAACACCCCTTAAGGAGAGGGCGGGCTTGTGTAGGGGTGGGGTCCCGGGCCCGCTCGGGTGACGCTTTGCCGGGAAGTATCGCGGGAAGAGGGAGTGAGCGTAGCTTTTAGAAGTCGCTATGGTGACGGGGAGGTTCGAGGCTTCTTGGTAATGAGTGCCAGCTCTGAGCAATTGCCACCGCCTTCCTGGAACTTAAGGTAAATCTCTTTACCTCTGGAAGAGGTGAGAAAAGGATTTGGAAGTTGTGGCCGTTACTGGATCCACCTTCCCTGCTTTGAGGGTGTGTGCGGCGTGGAGCATCAGTTATTTTCCTTCTCCCTGGCAGCAGTGGGACTCTGGACGTAGCTTTTGGGATGCGAAGGCAGCCTTGGGTTTGGAGGAAGTAAAGGGACAACAAGGAGGAGACAAGACCTGGATTGGTGAATGATCGTGTAGTGAATAGCAAAATAATAATTTCTAGTTATTGGTGTTAGGTCAGTAGTGTCACTAGTGAAAGGAGGTTTCAGGCTTTTAAAATCATTTGGCTGAAAGACTCCGTAATGGAAGCGATGCCATCTGGTTATGGGAAAATTATCAATCAGCAAATATTTCTTAAGTAGCTTTGTATACATTGCACTGTGTCAGGCATAATCAGGACTACTCAGCAAGTATTCCTGTTCTCAGAGAATTTAGTTTTGTTTGTAGGTTTTTAACTAGGAGTTTGTGGATCTGCTGGTAGGTGATTAGACTTCAGAGACGTTCATACCATCTCTTCACTAACCCCGTGACCCCGGAATTGTATGAAAAATTCTGTGTACCTGGGAATTTTTCTGGGGAGTTAGTTTTCCTAGAACTTTGATCTGATTCTTAAACGTGGTCCTTACCCCCACAGTGTTAGCCACTGGTTGATTTGACTAACTCCAATAAGCATTTATTCAGCGACTCTTAAGTACTTGACATTGAGAATGGGGAGCCTCTTTCCCTCTTTTAATTTTTGCATTTTTAGGGCCTGGCATAATAAAGCGCTAATCTGCTTTTTGAACGAACTTACATTATCATTATAAATAAGTAAGTATGATTTGTGCCCTGAGGAGCATATTCAAGTTCCATGATTCTCAAAAACAGATGTGGTGGACACTCCCTCCAAGTGTAAGAATTTGCTGAGGTTGAGAGACTGATGTGGTTTGAGTGAACATTGACTCGATATTACAATATACCTATATATTTGAAAAAAATTACTGTTTTTGTAAGATAAACTACAGACAATAAAGCTCAATGAAAAAAAAATTGGCCGGTACGTGTACCAAGAAAATGTAGCAATTCTCTTTGAGAGCATCTGGAATCTTATGGATTTTCGAAGTCTGTAAAACACTACTAAATCTGAGTTGAAAAGATATTAACGATGAAAAAAAGCAAAGACTAGACCAAATTGAGTGGTGTATGTGGGGGACAGAGCACGATTTAGTAGAAAGATATAGCAGATAACAGAATCCCAAATCCTATCATTTTTTAGCCACATGCTTGGACAATTTACTCAAGTGATCAATCTCTGAGAGTGTTTATTATAAAACCAGTATATAATACCTACCACATAAGATTGTTTATGATTGTTTGTCTAGCACACACACTACAAGCATTTGATATTGCTGTTTATGACGTTGACCTTATTAGGGTATATGCTGAGGATGACTAATGGGACGTCAAATTTGGAAGAAGGTTAGCTTATCGAGTCTTGAAAGCTATATAAAGGATGATAGATATGATACATTTTCAAAATATTAGAAAAATTTTGAGCTAAGGAATGACTTGGTAAACAAACAAAAATCCAATAGTTTTGTGGGATGTGTTAAAAGGGAAGAGATTAATCAGACATGGCTTAGATTATTATTGTACAGTCCTTCATGTGGAAGGTGAGAAGTGCCTATGCAGTAGAATGGAAAAAATCTGGACACATTTGGGGTGGAAATCTATAGCTTTTGCAGATTTTAATGGCTAAAAGTCTAAGCCCTTAAAAGTCAGTCAGCTTCTATTCTTTGTGAATCCTTGGATTAGTGATGAGGGGATAGGAAGAAAATAAGTCACAAATAAATCCTAGTTTTACTGCCTTTGATGATTGCTGTAAATAATGATAGGTCATAATGACTGATGAGAAAGAAATATAATTTCAATAAATCAATAAAGTGACTGATAGCTTTAGATTTAGCTGAACCTAACCATGCTTCACACAGGACAAATATTTTTTCAAATGAGCTTAAACCAGGTTGTGTAATGTATAAAAGACATCCATAACAAATGGCTGCGGAGGAGACTTAAATCCAGAGTGAAAGTAGGGCACTCAGAATAAGTGGAGAAGTGATTTGAGAAAAGATTAGGGTCATAAGAGATAAAAGACTTGATTGAGCCCTGCCAATACTTTGGATAAAAAGAAGCTGGTCCAATTGGGATGGACTAGGTTACAATCATCTTGGAAAGTATAACCAAGTCTCAGCTTTCTGGTCCAAAATCATCTACTAACAGCCATTATTTTTATTTTCAGGCAGTCTGAGAAGAGAACCCTCACTTTTTATATTTTAAAAAATTGTACCCCACAGGAAGAAATAAGAATAAGTTCAAAGAGAGAAATTGGAAATAGAATTAAAATGGCATGTTTGCACTTCTTGAAGTGCATAGTTAAATTTTGTCATCATTATAATATATTTTTTGTCTGCCTTCTAATGTGGTTACAGAATTTCATTAAGTCTGAAGTTAATTTGTAGGTAAATGTTTAAAAATATTAATCAAGTTTGTAACTTTAAATATTTGGATTAGGTATTAATAAAGCAAGATGAATAAATACATATGCATTTGTATAAGTAATGTATAAATACTTAGAGAATATTGTTCAAGATGAATAAATTAGATATAGACACAGGACAGATAGTAATGAATATTTTTCTTGATAATATAAGCCACCTACTACACCAATCTTGTTGAAATTCTCACCTACCTTAACAGAAAAAAAGGGAAGTGAGGAAGTAGAACAATTTTGGGAGATTGACTGTTTTGAAAAATGAGTTTGTTTTTATTCATATAGTTTGAGATTAGGAAAGATATATCCAGTGGGTAGCAGAGGTAGAGAATATTGTCAGGAGAGGAAATAGGATGAGATGGAGTTACAAGAATAGTTGGAATACTAAAAATAGATTAGATTTTTAAAGTTGTGAATAAAGAGAGGATAGCAACAGAGAAAGTCCATTCTTAGACTCTAGGAAGAAGAAGTAATTATAGACTTGAGTCTCAGGACTCTCTAGATTACAGGCGACAGAAAACCCAATTTAAATTGTCTTGAGAAAAGAAAAAAATTGGCTTCCATAACCAAAGAGTTAGTTGAGTATAACTGGATTCAGTGTTTAAACAAAGACATCAAGATTTGGTTTCTTTCTTTGCTCTGCTTTGCATTTCCTTGTCTTGGCATTATTCTCAGTTTCCACATAGTGGCCTCTGGTACCACCAGTCTCTCCCCTTGCTGTGGTAAGATAGCTACAGTAACTCCAGCCTCAAATCTTCTAAAATTAAAGACCTCAGGGTGACTCTTTCTTTCCCATCTTCTGGTTGAATAAAAGTTTCTGTTGGAATGCTCTAATTGTTTTAAGTCTGGGTCTCATGCTGGCTCCATTCAAGCCATTTGGGCTAAAAGTGTGGAACTGGGTGTTCCAAGGAGAAATTCTTTGTAGCTAGGGAAAGAGTGAATACATGCAGAATGACAAAAACACCAATTTTCACTACAAATAGCTAACAGTTATTAAGTACTTACTATGTTTCAGGCATTCTACTGGACATTTGTAAGATGTCTTTTTTAGATCTCATGTGTATTTTATCTCATTTAATCATCATAACTAACCTGTGAAGTAGGCATTATTAACTCCATTTTATATACAGAAGAAAACAAAGTACAGTACTTGAAAGATCACAAGGTGAGAGTTTCAATAAGATGGGTCAAATGCAGTAGAAACTGGAAAGAGAATTTGAATGGTGATTTTATAAAAAATAACATTTATTAGGGTGTTTTTAAATGCAGAAATGCGTAAAGAAGAAAGCAAAATTGGACCATACTGCTATCACTCAGGTAATCTCATTTTAAAAATATAGAGATAAAGAAAATATTATGAACATGGTAAAAAAACTTCAATCAGAAACATATAAAATGAGAGTTAAAATCTTCCTTTTCATCTTAGTGTCTATACCCTCACAAAGGTCTTCATTAAGTGTCTTGCATATCTTCCAAGAAAAATGTTTTAGTATTCACTAGCTTAAATGTATATCCTCCCCCCACCTTTTTCTTACAAAGGGGATTGAGTTATATAATACTGCTGTACATTTTACTTTGGTCATTTAATGTATTATAAGCATCTTTCTGTATCAGTACATATAGATTCACCTCATTTTTTTTAAGATAAGGATTTTATTTTTAAACGATTTTTTTTAAATGGTGGTATTGGGAATTGAACCCAGGACTTCACATGCTAAGTGTGTGCTTACCACTGAGCTATACAGCCCCCACCACTTTTTTTTTAATAGTTGCTGCACTCTAGTTTATCAGTTGAGTATGATTTTTCTATGCTAGTTGATAAAAAAAAGAATGAATTAAAGATGACTACTTATTTTTAAATTTGTGAATCTTGTGGTTTATTGGCTGAAATTTATTAGGCCAGCCTGCAAAAAGATTATAAATATAACCAGTAAGAATAATATTAAAGTATAATTGGCAAGATCTAGCTATAATTATAGCTAGAATTGCAAGGAAATATAAATAACACTGCATGAACACACACTTTAGAAAATGCATACAGAAATTGCAGTGGGGTAGGGGTTGGAGGTCTTTAGTAATTGAACTGTACTGCCATTCGCACACCTGTTTCCTTTGCTTGCTATGTTTTTTAATCTGTCCCTGGAAATGGTGAGCCTGCCTCTGCCTTCTGCCATATAAGAGATCTCATCTAGTTTGCAAGTGGTTCTATGATGGGACCAATCTGAGTAAAAGATCTGCCCCTGTCTCTCTCCTTTCTTTACTGGGAAAGAGACACAGGAGTCTGATTAGAGCTACTTAGGGGACTGTTGATAAAAATTGTACTTTTAAAAATAGAGCCTTTCGTAGTCATCAGCACACCATTCATTTCACCTGTTAATATCAACACCCCAGGGCTAGCCAATATGCAAATGACCCAAACAGAACTTGGTA